GAGAGGGGCTTCGTGGGAGCAGTGGGGGTGGAGGGAAGGAGCGCCCACCCGCTCCAATCCCTGTGCTGGCCACGCAGGCCTTCAGGGGCCCTGGAGAGTGTTTGGGTCCCACCTGGGTCACTCAGGCAGGTTTGAGCCTCAGTTTCCCCATGTTGTACAGTGAAGAGGCTAGACAATGAGGGCTCTTACAGGACCCATCCCTCTCCTTCGAAGCACCTGCTCTGTGACCACCTTTCCCTGAGTCCCAGGGTCATCAGGAGCCAACAGCCCAGCCAGGGCAGCCGAGGCACCACCAACCTGAGGCCCATCTGCCCGCCTCCCCTCCTGCCCTTTCACCTCTTCCTTCCACACCGAGCTGCCCTGAGGTCTGGCATCAATGGGACTCAGTACTGTCTTTTTTTTGAGACCAAGTTTAGTCTTGTTGCCCAGGCTGGAGTGCAGTGGCGCCATCTGGGGTCACTTCAACCTCCATCTCTCAGGTTCAAGTGATTCTCCTGCCTCAGCCTCCCAGGCAGCTGGGATTACAGACATATGCTACCATGCCTGGCTAATTTTTCGGTTTTTTTTTTTTTTTTTTTTTTTTTTTTTTTTTTTTTTGAGACGGAGTGTTGCTCTGTTGCCCAGGCTGGAATGCAATGGCAGCATGATCTGGGTTCACTGCAACCTCTGCCTCCCAGGTTCAAGCAATTCTCCTACCTCAGCCTCCTGAGTAGCTGGGATTTCAGGCATGTGCCACCATGCCCAGCTAATTTTTTGTATTTTTAGTAGAGATGGGGTTTCTCAGTGTTGGTCAGGCTGGTCTCAAACTCCTGACCCTCAGGTGATCTGCCTGCCTCAGCCTCCCAAAGTGCTGGGATTACAGGCATGAGCCACCACACCCATCCATGGATGAAATTTCTTACTGTGAGTGGAGCCGGTCAAAGTTTGAAAGCCACTGAGTCCTAAAGGGATCTTGCCCAGGACCTCTGGTCACTCGACCCATTCATTATCTACATCTGGTTTGTGAGCAGGACTAGTACTTTCTGCAAAGCAGTAATCAGATGAAATGAGCAGGCGGGGCTGGACCTGCGGCAACAAAGGGTTTTCTAAATTTTTGACTGGGTGGGGTGGCTCACACCTGTAATCCCAGCACTTTGGGAGGCCGAGGCGGGTGGATCACGAGGTAAGGAGATAGAGACCTGTATGCTGAAACCCAGTCTCTACTAAAAATACAAAAATTAGCTGGGTATGGTGGGCGTGGCTGTAGTCCCAGCCACTAGGGAGGCTGAGGGAGGAGAATTGCTTGAACCTGGGAGGCGGAGATTGCTGTGAGGCGAGATCGCACCACTGCACTCCAGCCTGGGCAACAGAGTGAGACTCCGTCTCAAGAAAAATAAAAATAAAGAAGTAAAAATAAAAGTGTAAAAATGAAAATAAAATAGTTTTCTTTTTTTATTTGTTTGTAGAAAGTCATTTATGTGCTCGCTTTGGCAGCACATATACTAAAATTGGAACGCTACAGAGATTAGCATGGCACCTGTGCAAGGATGACACGCAAATTCGTCAAGCGTTTCTTATTTAAAAAAGAAGGAAAGAAAGAGAAAGAAAGAAAGAAAGAAAAAAGAGTCATTTATTTAGGGAGAGAAACAGGAGAAAGAGAGAGAAACAGCTAACTCTCATGCTGAGTGAGAGAATCCACAAAGATGGAATCCAGGAGAGGAAAGCAGCTTCCACACTGAGAGGAAGGGAATAGAGAGAGATGGAGTCTAGGAGGGAAGGTCAGGCTTCCACGAGAGTGTGTGGAAGGGGGCCCCAGGGGGGAAATCCAGGAGAGAGAGAGACGGCTTCCACTCAGGGAGTGTTGGTGGAAGGGGACCCACACGTGGAGTCCCTGTTTTGTTTTCTTGAGACGGAATATCGCTGTGTTGCCCAGGCTGGAGTGCAGTGGGGTGATCACCGCAACATCCGCCTCCCGGGTTCCAGCGATTCTCCGGCCTCAGCCTCCCTAGTAGCTGGGACTACAAGCGCCTGCCACTATGCCCGGCTGAGTTTTGTATTTTTAGTAGAGATGGGTTTTCTCCATGTTGGCCAGGCTGGTCTCCCACTCCTGACCTCAGGTGATCCTCCCGTCTCAGCCTCCCAAAATGCTGGGATTACAGGCGTGAGTCACCGCGCCCGACCCTTCTTTCCCCTTTCACGTCTCTGCTTTGTATGTTCTTTGAGGGGAACACCGCGAAGCCCTGACACCTCCTCCCGGCGCCCCCGCCCCGCCCACCTCTGTCCGCCCGCCCCGCTCACCTGTGCCCGCCCCGCCCTGATCACCTGTGTCCGCCCGGCCCCACCCCGCTCACCTGTCCGCCCCGCCCCGCCCCGCCCCTCTCACCTGTCCATCCCGCTCACCCGTGTCCGCCCCGCCCCGCCCCCTCACCTGTGCCCGCACTGCACCCCGTAGCTCCCGGCCAGACAGGGCAGCTGGCAGCGCGTTCCGCGGAAGCCCGGCGGGCAGGTGCACTGGCCGGAAGTGGGGCTGCATTGGCCGCGCTCGCACTGGCACTGCTGCCGGCAGTCGGGGCCCCACCAGCCCGGCCGGCAGGCGCAGCGGCCCGAGTTCTGCTCGCACGGGGAGCCGTGGCAGGCGCAGCGGAAGCTGCAGCGGCGGCCCCACCAGCCCGGCTGGCACACGCAGGCGCCCGTGGCCTGATCACAGTGCGCCGCCGCGGGGTTGCACTGGCACGGGCGGCGGCAGGTGGGCGACCACCAGCCCGGCTCGCAGCGGCACACGCCGGTGGCGGGGTCGCAGCGCCCCTGGGGGCCGCAGGCGCACTGGAACTCGCAGCGGGTGCCCCAGCGGTCGGCTTGGCACTGGCACGCGCCCGTGGCCGGCTCGCACTGGCCGTGTGGGTGGCAGGGACAGCTCTCGCGGCAGTCGGGGCCCCAGTACTGGCCCGGGCAGCCTGCGGGGTGGGAAGGAAGGGGTCAGCAGGCTCAGGGCGCGCGCGGATCCTGACCCTTCCACAAGGAAAAGGGGCGCCGGGCCCACCCTCCGAGGGCCGGGGACAGACCCTTGGAACATCCGGCAGCCTGTCTGGGCAACAGCCACTTCCTGCTCTGCTCTGACCTACAGAAAACCCTTCGCCATGGCTCAGCCTCCTGCCTCCCACTCCAGAACACACTCGGAGATCCCAAGTGGGCGGGGGGCTTGCCCAGAGTCCCGGGTAGAGGTGGGGGGAGGAGCTGCTTTCATGCCGCTTCTCCCCCGCAGAGATCGATCTCTACTGGGCTGGAGGAGGGCAGGACTCCCTCCCGATCTCAGGCCTGGATGCTGCCCGCCAGGGTGGCAGGAGAAGCCGTGCTTCCCCTAGTGATCCCTTGATTGCTGGTGCCCACCCTCCAGCTCTCCTGCTCCCCAACCCCTTCCCCTTCTCTCTGTTTCCGCCAGAGAGGGCACACAGCCCAGCAGGGCCTCCTTCCCTCCACTGTCCATGTAAAAGGCGTATGTGGGAAAGTCCAGGAACACAGTCATGTTGCGGTTAACAAGAGTCACAGGTTTTCGGAGAAGTAGAACAGAAAGATACTCAGGTGGGCAGGGCTTGGTGGATGTGGGTGAAGACCCAGTGTCCCAGGCCATCCCCCAGGAGTGTGTCACTTCCTGTCTCTGGACCTTGATTCCTTGGAGGCTGGGAGGGGTCCTGACCCCACTGTCCTGAGGCCGCTCGGTACCTGAACCTTGCCTCCCTGACACCACTGCCCCTGCGCCCAGCTCTGCCCAGCAACCTCGTCCTGCCCCTGAGACTCACGGGAGCTGCAGTGGGCCCCAAAGAACCCAGGTTTGCACCGACAGAGGCCCGGCTTCACACACACCTCGTCTTCCCGGCAGGCGTCTGGCCCCTCACAGATGGCTGAAAGACACCCACCCAGGTTGGAAAGATGGGCAGGACCAAGGACAGCCCCGCCCTCTCACTGGCTCTGGGGGCCAAGCCTCCTCAAGGGGTGCCCCTTCAGGGCTGGGGGCGTCGCAGGAGAAAGCCTGGCTCCTGGGCGGGAGAGAAGCAGGCCCCAGGGGGTAGGCAGGAGGGGCTGTCGCTGGCTTCGTCCTCCCTTCTCCTTGGCTGGGGGTCTGTCCTGGATACTCACGGATGCTGCATTCTTGGTCTTTCTGCCTCCAGCCTGCGCAGCACTGCAGCTCAGCAGAGGGGCTGTGGGGCAGAAAGGGGTCAGCGGGAGTGGCGGGGTGCTGTCTCTGTGAGGTGGGGGAGGCTGCCTTAGCCCCCTGCGGAGGCCTAGTGGACCTGCACAGCTCTGGGGTCCCCAGCTCCTCCCCACTCCTTCCCTGGCCCTTCCACCATCTGCCCTGGCGCTGCCCACAGCCGCCCATCCTTTCAGCGCCAAGACCTCTTTCCATGCCCCCCTTCCCCCACAGGCCTCAGCACTGGCTCAGCCACCCCCGTCAGGCTCCCACAAGACCCACCTGCTGGCCACACAGACGTGCTGCCCACTGGGGTCCAGCTGGGACCCCGGAGTCCCCCCAGGCCACAGCAGCAGCAGCGGGAGCAGCAGCCGCAGCCCCATGGCAGCCGTGCGGGGAGGGCTGGGTTATTCTGGCCCCCACGGCTCCCGACCTCCTCCCTGCTTCCTCCCAGGGCTTTTCCTGAGGAAACCAGGCCGGAGGGGCGGGCAGCCCTGAGGCGCCTCCCTGAGGGGGCGGGGGTTGCAGGACAGACCGACACTCAAAACAAGAAAGGGAAAGGAAGGCCAGCGGCAGGGCTGACCGGCCTCGGCCTGGAGGGGCCAGAAGGGTGAAGCCGCAGGTCCCTGGGTGCTGGGACCGGGGAAGCGGGTGGCGTGAGGGTGGGAACCTCGACCCTCCATCAGGCCGCAAACCCCAAAGCAAAGACGGGGCTGCAAGAAGGGCCCCCACCCAGTGACTGACCAAGGCGCCCTGAGGCCCCCCGCCGGCCTGCCTCTGCTCCTGGCGGGGCTTGGAGGTGAGACGGACATGGACAGACAGGCGAGGGACAGTTTCTGGGAGTTTTGGGCAGTTCTTTATTACACGAGCTCAGGCCGTCCGCACAAAGCCCTGGGAGCCAGCTCTCATTTAGTGGATGGGGAAACTGAGACTCAGAGAGGTGCTCTTATGTCTGGCCCCAGAGGTCTGGTACAGAATCGTAGACAGGGAGGTGGGCTGAGCCCCTGTGCTGCTCTGGTGCAGGCCAGAACTGGGGAAGACGCCTGGGAGGCCACGAAGGAGGGAGCCCTGTCCTCATATGAGGTCGCACATCCAGCCACAGCCAGGTCCCCAAGTCAGGCCTCGGGGGCGGCTGAGGCCCCCAGACAGAGATGTTCCTGGTGGGCAGGACAGGGCAGCTCAGGAGCTGGAGACTGTGGTTGGGTCTCCTCTTCCCCTGGCTTGCCGGGAGCAGGGCTGTGGGTCTCATCGTCCGGGGATTCGGCTTTCCCGCGATACCACTGGCCAAAGCTGGAGAGATAGCCAGAGGCACTCTGCGCCAGGAAGCCAGAGAGGTTGAGGACGTGGGCAGAGGGCGGGGTGGGGTGGGTGAGAACAGGGGAGAGAGGCAGGAAAGGGCAGCCTGAGGGAGTGGGAAGGTGATGGGGCCCATGGTCGGTCGTGGAAGCAGGAGGGGAGGGCCTGCTAAGAGCCAAGGACAGCAGGGTGACAGGCAGGGAAGCAGGAAAGGAGATCCAGGACCCTTCCTCCCTCCCCCGCTCTTGCCCTTCCCCTTCCCCCAACATACAAACTCTGTATTTTGGACTCCGGGGGTGGGGGATGGTCGTCCTTATCATCAGCGAGCAGGAGCCAGGAGCCATCCTCATCGTCACTGAGACAGAAGAGAGGAGACGTGAGGGCCAGGGATCAAGGCCTGAGGGACAGCGGGAACCCAGCATCGGGGATGAGGGACAGCAGGGCCCCCAGAGCTGGAGAGAAGGCGACCCTGGGGAGATGCAGGATGTCTTGAGGCTTTATTTTTTATTTTATTTTTGAGACGGAGTCTCGCTCTGTCGCCCAGGCTGGAGTGCAGTGGCTTGATCTCAGGTCACTGCAACCTTCTGCCTCCTGAGCTCAAGCGATGTTCTTGCTGCAGCCTCCCGAGTAGCTGGGATTACAGGCGTGCGCCACCACACCTGGCTAATTTTTGTGTTTTTAGTAAAAACCGGGTTTCACCATGTTAGCCAGCCTGGTCTCGAACTCCTGACCTTGTGATCTGTCTGCCTCAGCCTCCCAAAGTGCTGGGATGACAGGCGTGAGCCACCGCACCCGACGAGGCTTTATTTTATGTCTCGACACACAGCAGGCCCTGACACAGCTACGGTGTCACCCCCGTAAGAACAGACAGAGCTAGCCAAGGCGGGGAGCTGAAGGCTGAAGGTGGGGAGGCAGCACTGGCACGCAGGATAGCCGGCAGGCAAGGCAAGGGGAGCTGTGAGATCCAGGGAGAATGGCACAGCCTGGACCGCAGCCACAGGACCCAGCCAGACCAGGTCAGCAGGCCCTAAAAGTGGCCAGGCTAGGAGGCTCGAGGGGAGAGCAGGTTGGGGTGACAGGCTCAGTCAGAGACAATGGGCTCAGAGTGTGATCAGGCCAGGTCATCAGGCTCAGCAGAACTCGGGAGGCGGACTGGCTCGGTGGGGATGCAGGCAGGGACCCACCTGCTCTCTGCTTCCTCTGGCGTCCCTAACATCTTGGCCTTGATCTTCTTCCGCTGCTTCCTGACAGCCACCTTCATGGCTTCCAGCAGAAGGCCTGGGACCCGGTGGTCGGTGAGCAGCTCCCTGCAGAAGAGGGGCAGGGCGGGAGAAAGCAGTGGAGATGCAGCCGTGGGCCTCACTCCTGGTACCGGTGCAGCGGCTCCTCCCTGGACACCTGAAACCTGTGCCTTGCTGACACCCTCAGATCTTTGCTTAGGTGCCCCTCCTAGGAGAGCTTCCCTGGCGGCTGCAGCAGTGACCCTGTGCACTGTCCCTCTTCTGTGTCTGGGTGACGTTGTGGAGGGGTGGGGCTGTGCAATTTACATCCTTCCACTACCCAGCGCAGGCCTGGCACGTCACCATGTCACTGTGGACATATCGATGATGGGAGAACGAGGTGGGGTGATCGGAGCCCCTCAGCTTCCCGGCGCCCTCACCGCTGGAAGTAGGCCAGCTCCTCCTTGAGCAGGAACACTGTGGCTTTGAGTTCATTGCGCTCCTGAAGGATCTGCTCAAACTCCTCCCGGCTGAAGCGGCACTGCCCTGCCTGCCGGGGGCGCCCTGGAGGCTGCGCGGCCTCTGCCTTTAGAAGGACAGGCACGGTCAGAGGGTCGCGCTCGAGGGCCATCGCGGGAACGCTAGAGGAAGTGATGGGCAGGGAGACTTGGGGGACAAAGGTGCCCCAACAGGTAACAGAGGCCGGCCCAGGGTGAGGACCTGCTGTGCCGATGCGGACCTGGCCCGAGCGCCCTCCTGGGCTGGGTCCTTGCCCTCGTGCGGCACTCACCGGGTCCTCAGGGGTCGCCCGTTCGGGCTCCTGCCCCTGCTGGTGCCCCGGCTCCCCAGCCTGGCCCCGCGCTCGCTCTTCAGCCGGCTGGGCCGCGCCTCCTCCAGGCTGCTGGCGCTCGGTCTCACGGTCCTGCGCGGTGCGCAGCTGGGTCTGCACGGCCGCCAGCTTCTGCCGCAGCTCGGCGTTCACCAGCAGGAGGCGCTGCAGCTGCTCCTGCAACTGGGGGCGGAGCAAAGGGTGGGGTGGGCGGGGCGCCAAGGTGCCCGGGGCCCGGCCTGTCCCGTCCTGTCCCGTCCCGTCCCGCCCCGCCCCGCCCCGCCCCGCCCCGCGCTCACCGCCTCCGTCTCCTGGCCGCGCTGCCGCAAGTCGCGATTGTGCGCCCGCAGTTCGTCCCGCTGTCGGTCCGTCACCTCCTTGAGCTGCCGCAGCAGCGCGCGCTCCTCTGAGGAAGGCGCGCTCTTAGCGGCGGCGCGCGGCCCGCGGGAGGGAGTAGAGGACCCAAGCCGGCCGCCACCCGCCCGCCCTGGCCGGGGCTGCGCTCACCCTGCGGCCCGGCGCTTAGCTCCCAGCGGAGGCGCTCGTTCTCCTCCTGCAGCCGCCGCAGCTCCCGCTCAGCCAGCTGCGCAGACACCTGCAGCTGGGGAGCCCGGGTCTCAGGCTTCCGCCCTGCCGGCCCCGCGGGTGGCGAGGGGAGGGCGGTGACTCACCGAGTCCGGGGCGGGCCCCACGGCAGCCTGTTCCAGGAGTTCCAGCGCGCGCACCACGAGCGGCACCAGCCCGGCCGCCGCCTCCGGCCCGAAACGACGCGCCAGCTCCTGCAACTCAGTGCCCAGAGCCCCGGCTAGGTGGTACACAAGCTCTGCCACCGTCCCCGGCCTCGCGGCCCCTCGAGGGCCCCAGCCGTGCGCCCCAGGCACCGCTCTCCTGGGCTCCATGTTCCCCAAAGGCCTGGGGCCGCGACCCCCCCACCAACTCGAACAGGGAAAAACCAAACAGTTCCGGCCCAGGAAGCTGTTTAGAGTAGGGGGGGGCGGGGTAGAAGCGAAAAGGGTGGGGAGGAGCAAGGGAAGGAGGCGTGGGGAAGGGAGATCGTGCCCTAGGCCCCTGGGCCCGTCCTTCCACCCCCAAGGTCACAGGAAGCAGGACGGCCACCTTCCAGCCAGGCGCCAGGAGCTGAGCTCAGGGCTGCCTGTGGTCACTTGAGTGGAGCCCTCCCCACAGGTCCGATCCAGGCTCCGCCCCCGTCACGGGGACAACTTGGCAGCGGCGAGCTCCGGGCAAGAGGTCACAGGTAGGCGGCGGGTCACTGGCCTCCGCGCGGCTGTACACAAACTGCCTGCCTATGTGCTTGTTTTCCTGACCAGGAGTGACCAGAAAGCTTAAAGGGCTGGGCTGGACACGCGAACACTCAGCACAAGCCACAGAGATCCGAGACCCGGGGAAGGGCAGCGCTGGGGAAAGGAGGCGAGGCCTTCCAGTGCTGTGTTGTCGGGAATCAGCCAATGTGGCCCAGGAAGCAGAGTGAAAGCCCCGCCCCGCCGCAGGTCTCCACCCAGTCCAGGGGGTCTCTAGCCCCAAGCCCCGATTAGGGAGGAGGGGGCCTCAAACTCCCCATCACCACGGCTGGGCCCAGCATCTTGCCGTGAACCACCCAGTCCTGCCGTCCGTCAAACGTAAATCCAGAATCTGAATTCAGGGGAAAAGAAAAACCAGCCCCCAAACTCCTATTTATACAAAATTTATTACTATATTTTATTCAGGATGAGGCCATCAAGAAGTCAACAACACAATAAGCACACACAGAGGGAAAGGGCCAAGCTGCTGAATGTCACCAGCCTGCAGGGGGGCTGAGGCAGGAGGCAGGGAAGCGATTAGGCATACAGGTCCTCCCGGTCCGCAGAGTACACCTCCCCCTCCTGCAGCAGGGCAAAGTTGAGGAAGTGTGAGGGCCTGTGCACCTCATGGTAGAACTCTTTGGGGTTCGCCAGCTGCAGCTCGTATTTCATGTTGGGGTCATGCCGAACGCCTTAGGGAAGAAGGGAACATCAGATGTTAACGGGCCCTCTGCCTCTTGCGGTCAGCCGTGCCCCAAGCATGCAGGGCGATGGCCTCACGTACCCCTAGCGCCACCCCCACTTACCCATGAAGTTGTAGTTCCATGAGGACTGGGCAGGGACCATGAAGAAGCCGAGGAAGCGGTCAGAAAGCAGCATCTGGACCCGCTCGTAGTGCGAAGGCAGGTAACCCTTGGGGTTGTTGCCCTTGTCTGTGTTCTGGCGGCCCCATTCGTAGCCACTGGGGGTCAGCTTGTAGGCCGTCAGTGTACAGGAGCCTGGAGTGAAGCTGGGGGCGGGTGGGGACACACAGCAGCTCAGGCCACGTTCTGGGCCCCGGCCTGCAGTCCCTGCACCACCGCACTGCTCCCCAGGAAGCCCAAGCCCACCTGCATGTGATGATAATGGTTTTCTCGCCATCCCAAGATGGGTTGTCAGCCATGATCTTGGCGTGGGTGGTGACATCCTGGGGTGACAACTGTGGGGACTCATTGGGCTGAGTGTGGATCCAGCCTAAGGGTTCCATCTCCTGTAGGCAGAGTAGTAGCTGTTCAGAATCGCATCTGCAGACAGGAATCGCGCCCACGAGGGTAGCACGCCTGCCTCGAGGGGCAGGGAGCTCCAGCTCTTCCACACTCCCAAGCTCCGTCACTGCCACTCACCTTGAGGTACTCGTGCTGGGGCAGCTGGCCAGGCAGGTGCACAGTCTGGTGGGTGCCCCACTGCGGCACCATCACGATGCAGCGGATCTCCTTCACCTGCGGGTTATCTGGTGGGCTCACCCCGTACAGGTACCCTGCGATCTGGAGACAAAGGGGTCAGGAACCAAAACACTTCTTAGCACCAGCTCCAAGCTGGAGCTGCAGCCCTGTTTCCTTCCTTCTTCCAAGAACGAGGACAGAGTTTCTTAAAACGTGATCACAACCCTGTCTGAAGCAGCCGGGGGCACTTGTTCAAAATGTCACACATGGACCTCATCTCAGACTCACCACATCAGAATCGCCTGAGTGTGGTCCAGGGATCTGCACTGCTCACAGCTCCCCAGCTGATGATTAAGTACAGTGTTCACAAGCAAATGAGCATACAAACACACAGCCCAGGGTACTTTCGCAAGCTGAAAACATCTGGAAAACCAGCACTTGGTGGCATTTTTAATTTTACATTTTCAACAAAGAGGATCTGTTTACTATAAACTCACCCACACAGGATATTAACAATCTTTTCAAATTTGCCGACCTGATGGCCACAAAATAGTGGGTTTGTTTTGGGATGGAGTCGCGCTTTGTCGACAAGTCTGGAGTGCAGTGTGTGATCTCGGCTCACTGCAATCTCCACCTCCTGGGTTCAAGCAATTCTCCTGCCTCAGCCTTCTGAGTAGCTGGGATTACAGGTGCCCAATGTGCCTGGCTAATTTTCATATTTTAAATAGAGACAGGGTTTTGCCATGTTGGCCAGGCTAGTCTTTTTTTTTTTTGGAGAGACAGTGTTACGTTACATTGAACAGGCTGGTCTTGAACTCTTGGGTTCAAAAGACCTGCCCGCCTCAGCCTCCCACAATGCTGGGATTACAGTCATAAGCCACTGCACCCAGCCTCTTCTTTTTCTTTTGTTAGAGACAGAGATTGGGTCTTGCTGTTGCCCAGGCTGGAGTGCAGGGGTGCCATCTAAGCTCACTGCTTGGACTACCTTGGTTCAAGTGACCTCAGCCTCCTGAGATGGGACTACAGCCGCTTTTGTTGTAAGAACAGGCTCTTGAACTTACCTGTGCTTAAGCAATCCACCTGCCTTGGTCTCCCAACATGTTGGGATTACAGGCGTGACCCACCACACATGCCTGGTCAAGAATTTTCAAAGTGCCAATACTACATTTACTACCTTCTCTCAACTTCCACAGCTTTTAATATCTCACGGGGCCCAAAACCCTGCTTGCTGTTCTCCTTGTATAATTATTCATCCACGAATCTTGAAACCAGCATCTCAAGTCCTTGATCATATCAGGTCTGCGTTTCAGGCACAATGTGTTGGGCACGCACTGCGGCCTAGCGGGGTTCACTTACTCACTTGGGCCCGAAGGTCAGATATGCAGATGAACTTCTTAAGCACATTCTTGGGAAGGATGTAGGTGTAGCCCGTCTCCTTGATGTCATCAGATGAAACATAGATGTGATTGGTCCTTAGGTGCAGGTTGGCAGCAGAGATGGCCCTAAATGCAGGTAGGGAATGTTAGCACCGGCGGTAGTGCCAGCGGCCTTTCCATCCCCACGTGTTGCCCTTCGCAGTACCTGACCCTCCACTCAGTCTTGGATGAGAAAGTCTGGGTCTCGTAGTTGCTTGTGGTGGAGGTGATGATCTCATCGCCATGCTTGTTGACAGTGCGAGTCTGGGTGGCAGTCAGCTGCGACTGTTCCTTGGTCTGCTTCTCAATCTCAGCGATTTGCTGCCTCTGCTGTGATGGTGCCGAGATCTCCATACCCAGGATGATGTCTCGAATTTCCGACTGTGTCAGTGATGCCACGTTCACACTGTGGGGATGGTGTGGGTTGTATCACAAGGATCCCTCCCCCTGGTCACTTCTGCCTCAGTGGAAAGGATGTAACTCGGTAGGACAGGGCAGCCTATATTCGTGCCCCAGACAGTCCGCCAGTGCTGCTTCCACAGGAAGTGTGAGATGGACATGCACTAACACTTACAAGAGTCGTCAGACCCAAGGGGGCAGCAGGCTGCGTGTGCCCCTTCCCACTGTGTGGCATCCATACACCCCCGCTTCCTTGACTAAAACAATGCTCTGGAGTGGAACAATTCTCAGAAATGGAAACCCCAGAAACCCTACAATACTGGCTCTTAATCAGAGGTGGTACCGTCATTCACCCTAGGAGGTACTTCGAAATCTATGGACAGCTTCGGCTGCCACGAAGGGAGAGTGGAGGAAGGTGCGTGTGTGTTGGCAGCAGTCTCCAACACTTAGGGTCTCGGATGTTAAAACTTACCATGTATGGACGGTAAAGAAATGCCCTGCTCTGGCCGGGCACGGTGGCTCACACCTGTAATTCCAGCATTTTGGAAGGCTGAGGCGGTTAGATCACAAGGTCAGTTCAAGACAGGCATAACCAACATGGTAAAACCCCATCTCTACTAAAAATTTAAAAATATTATCTGGGCACGGTGGTGGGTGCCTGTTATCCCAACTACTCAGGAGGCTGAAGTAGGAGAATCACTTGGACTTCGAAGGTGGAGGTTGCAGTGAGCCGAGATCACACCACTGCATTCTAGCCTGGGCAACAGAGCAACACCCCGTCTCAAAAAAAAAAAATTAAAAATAAAAAAGGAACCACCCTTCTCAAAATAGCAACAGTGCCTCCACTGAGAAACAATGGCCAAGAGAGTTTAGCTGAAACCCTAAAACATGGATGCTTCCATACTATCGGAAGACACTGCCAATCTCTCTTCTATGAGACTAAGATAATTTCTTTTTTTTTTTTTTTTTTTTTTGAGACGGAGTTTCACTCTTGTTACCCAGGCTGGAGTGCAATGGCGCGATCTCGGCTCACCGCAACCTCCGCCCCCTGGGTTCAGGCAATTCTCCTGCCTCAGCCTCCTGAGTAGCTGGGATTACAGGCACGTGCCACCATGCCCAGCTAATTTTTTGTATTTTTAGTAGAGACGGGGTTTCACCATGTTGACTGGGATGGTCTCGATCTCTTGACCTCGTGATCCACCCGCCTTGGCCTCCCAAAGTGCTGGGATTACAGGCGTGAGCCACCGCGCCCGGCCTAGATAATTTCTTTTTTTGAGACAGGGTCTCGATCTGTCACCCAGGCTGGAGTACAGTGCCACAATCATGGCTCACTGCAGCCTCCGATTCCCGGGCTCAAGCAAGCTTCCCACATCAGCCTCCAAGAAGCTGGGACTACAGGTGTACACCACCACACCTAAGTTTTAATTTTCTTTTTTTTTTTTTGTAGAGATGGGGTGAGTCTCTTTTGTTGATCAGGCTGGTTTTCAACTCCTGGCTCATGCAATCCTCCTACCCTGGCCTCCCAAACTGCTGGAATTCCTAGCATGAATACTCAAGCCTAGCCAAGATAATTTTTTTTTCCCTTGGAGATAGTGTCTCACTCTTGTCACCCAGGCTGGGGTGCAGTGGCACGATCTCAGCTCACTACAACCT